CCCCTTAGGGGCGCCGTCACCTTGTAATTGTATGGGAGTTTCCAAAACCAGAGATCTTCAATATTGACCGCAAACATATGCGCTGTAGTCTAAACTCCAAATATCCCCCCTCATAACTCCCTGTGATACTCCCCTATTGGAGTTTAGAGTACAGCTCTTCTATTCTACTGGCTCCCAAAAGGGGCCCCCCATTTTTAGGAAGCCTTACAGCCCTACAATGCCTGAACCCTAAACCTTAATCCCTATGTGGGGATTTCACAAAAAGAGGTGTACGTTTGGGTGGATCCCCAAAACCATGATTCTAGTTTGTTTGTGTGTGTGTGTGTGTGCGTTCCGGTGTGTATATGGGTTCCCCCAATTTGCGGAACCTACCACATATCCCTACATATCCCTATATAGGCCTTATAGAACACGGATCCCTATAGAATTTTTCTAGAACCGCTGTATTTCTAAGTTCCATAAACGGATTGGCCTGCTGAGAAACACGTTCTTTTGCTGCCTACGAGGCCGCCCGCGAAAATGAGCTCACCACAGAGCAGCATGCACCTTGGCTAAGTCGGCACACTTGGGGCTTAGCATTTAGGGCATAGAATAGGGTATATATTGGGGTTGTATAGTGTTTGATGGAAATGGAAAGCTACCTAGTTACGATTTATACAGGGTTTAGGGCTTGGGAGATTGTCCCAACAATGGACGGCCAAATGGAGTTTGAAATCGAAGCTAGGGTTCTACAGGAGGTATATATAGATATACATATACATAATACATAATACATGTATAGTCTGGTCCCTTCCCCCTCAACGTAAACACCCTGATGATGAACATTCCTGATACGCCATTGAATAGCAGGGGGAGTGTTTGCCATGAGGGGGTCGGATTGATCATCATGGGGATGTGACTGCTTGAAAGAGTCGGGTCTTTAGGCAGTCCGAGTAATTAAGCAGGTTTGAACACTCAGAATAATCCATACAATGTGCCGAATTGACCGAATTAGTACCCTACTTATTAATTTCCCCTGACCACAAACCCTAGACCCGGACCCTCCACCTAGCATTTGGCCTGTTTTCCAAGCTGAGTTTTTGGTCTAGGAACAACTTGTGCAAGTTCAGCAGGCCATGCTTTCTTGTCGTGCATACGGGGTCTTCAAATATTAGAGCATTGTGATACACAGAACTGACAAATAGTTACATTGATTGCAAGCTCCCAGAAAATTGTCTGGGTTCCAAATGTGCCACAGGAGCGGGAGTCAATCCGAGTTGCCAGGATCACGAGAGAGCTTGTGAAGATGCTCGGCCTAAAGAAGCTAGAGGGGAGCTGCATAATTAGTCAGAAATAATGGCTGTTATATTTGGAACCTTTACTTCTTCTGCTGCTGCTGCTCCTACTCCTACCACCACTACTACTTCTACTTCCGACGACCAGCACCAAAATGATCACGACGACGTGTGGTCATTTTGATTCTGAGGTTGGGACGTCTTATTGCTATTTGCTATTGCTATTACTATTATTAGTAATACAATTATTGTTATTTCAAGGGGTGGTGACTGATGTAGGGGACTGGAGATGAGGACAGGGTGCGCGTTTTGTTGTTTAGGATTTTGGTTTTATGTACAGATAGGAAAAGTATGTCATTTTTACAGGGAGGCCATTTTTGAGTTAAAAGCGGATATCTTTTCGAATGGCCCACACTGCTACCTCGCAGCATGCTGCTTTGGGTTGTGAAAGGTCCCGGAGTAGCTGTTTCATCTTTGTCCGCCCCAAGCCCTACATGAGCTGTAGTCTAATTTCCTTGAGGGGGGGACTATATAGGAGAGTATGTAGGGCACTATCATAGGGGCTGTTAAGAGGGATACCAGGAGTTTAGACTATGGCTCACATAATCCTTAAGTACTCCTACAAGATGAGACTGTTCATGGCTTCCATTGTGTAGCGGGTTTCTTGCGCATGCTCAGGTCGGAATTTGGGAAGGATGTTTTCAGGGGTTCATGGGGCGCATTTTGGGACTACTCTGGAGACACGCTCAGGTTGCAACCATGCTTGTGTCAAGCTGCAGAGCAGCCATTGTTGCTACGGTATGGTCAGCTGTTTAGGCGTTTAGGGTTATAGCCCCCGTAAAGTAGATAGAAGGTGGCTTTGGGTACGAGATCCGAATATATCCCATATTCTATGTACTGAAGGAAGGGGGACTACATTTTTTGACGTTTAGGATGTTGGGTGAACTCGTTCAAAGTCCGGCTCAAGGGTCAAGAGCCACCTCCCCGACATGTGATGCATGGAGGGAATCTTAGGGTTATAGGGTTTAGGGGCATTATTCCGCGACTAACAAACAGCTTTAACATCCTGACCGAGACCTTGTACGTAGGACATTTCCATCGAGGGTATTCAACACCCCCGGCCAACTGATATTGAACATTGACTCCCCCCAACGTATATGGTCTCTGGCTAGGAAAAAACGGGTGGTTGGTGGATGCTAAATCAGTATTGGACGAATCCTCTCACCAATTGCTAGCAGCGAACGCAGGAATACATGCTTATGGTAACTATGTGGGGATTGGTCTAAATTCCCTATAATACAGGGTCCTATATTTGGGTTCCCATTATAATACGGGGCCCTATATACATTTCCCCCATTTTGGGAACAGCAATTTAGGGAAACTACCATGTAGTTCTTCCCATCTTCCTTTCCCTTCCTTCTGTCTCTACTAACCACCCTAAGAATCAAACCCTAAGCCTAAGTCCCAAACCTGAAGCCCTAAGCGCTTTAATACGCCCCTTCATAGCTTCCACTGTATTTCCCATGTCTTCCCTTTAAAAAGCCTATCAATAAGCCATAGTCTAAACTCCTAAGGGGGGAGTTGCGAAGGGGAGTACTTCGGGGTCATTTGGGAGGATACTAGGATTTTAGACCATAGCTCAAGTCTCGTAGTAGTTTCAATGTTTTCATACCTTCACCCCGGGGTACCTTTTTAGGGGTTATAGGGGAGATGTAGGGTTATATAGGGCATATACAGCGTGTAAGGTTTAGGGTTTCCCTAAATTTTAAGTTAGGGGAACCCGTTTTGGGGGTCCCTATAAAAAGGACTTTGGTACTTTGGGGTCTAAATTGGGGTCCCCCGATTTAGGGAAAGTAACATATTTGGCTTGACCCTACGTCTGCTAAACCTTGAGAAGCATGGTTTTGCTGGGAATTATGGTTTGAAAATACAATAAGGTCTTGCAGGATCTTAAGTATGATTGGTATTGTGGTGCAATAGCCGTCCGAAGGTTGGCCCCTTGTGACACCATCAGTACCGCGACTTGTACAATTTTCTTGGAATGCTTAGCTGCCTCTTTCTTGGCCTTTGCCATAGCAACTGTTGTTCGTTTGTTTGCCACCGCTATTCTTGAAAGACCCTGGCATGGTTTACAAGGGAACCCCCGTCACGGTACCCCATACTATTAGTGATTATGGGGGATTGTATCGGGGCTGCTTTAGGGATCGGTTCCTCTGCTTCATGCCACCAACCAGCGGGTCTTGCGGTTGGGGCTTGCGTTGCGACACTCAATTTTGCCCCGTCCTTATCCTTATCCTTGTGGCCTCTGTTCTGTTGGCCAAGGAAGTTCACCAAAGCGCATCGTGCACAGAAGATTATCGTTGCCGATGGTAGCGAGGTCCACGCCTCAGAAGGGAACGAAACCGTGGTGACCAAAGCATGCCAGGGCCAACAAACATCGACATGTTCCAAGTCAGTCTTATACTTATTGCCACCACTTTTGAATTTCTGTTCTTGTCCTTCTTTACACCAGGAAACTACAACATTGTCATCGAAACGAGTAGTTCTCCAGGTTATGAGCCTTACATATGATGCCTAAATCGGCTCGTGGTTCTGAGAATCCGATACAATAACCGCCTCTTCAAGCCCACACAAACCGTCAACTCCAAATTCCTGGTCTTTTCAGTTTCATCGCTCCATTCTTCAACCCCTAAAACCTATGTAAACAAGCCGGCGACCCCAAAGCCCTCCTGCAATAAAGCAAAGGGTACTTAAGCGTCTTTATTGTGCAAGCCAATTTTCCCATTATCTTCTTTTCCATTTGATTCTCTATTGTCCTAAACCCCTATACAACCCCTATATAACTCTAAACCCTAAAGCCTAGAGAAAAGGCGCGAAAAAATGTGACCCTACACCCTGAAACCCTGACATTAAGCCCTAAAGCCCTAAAACCCTAAAACCTTAAAACCCTAACACCCTAAAACCCTGAAACCCTAAACCCTAAAACCCCAGAACCCTTAACCCCAAGGACTTGTCCAACCATCAAAGTTCCGCAAGACTGGCTGCGAGTCCCGGGATGCTCGAAGAGGATGATGATCAGATTGAGATCAGTAAAGAGCTCCTGGGTTGTTATAGGGGCTATATTGGGAGAATGGAAAAGAAAATGGAAACTACCATTTAGGGTTTAGGGATTAGGGTTTAGGGTTTATAGTCCCCTTTAAGTAGATAGAATACGGCTTTGGGTATATTGCAAGAAGATCCCCATATACCCCATATTCTATCTACTTAAGGGGGACTATAGTTAGGTGGACCCCCCCCAACCAGTAATAGTGACTATAAGGGATAATAGGGATTATATTCGGGTCCTCTTATATTCCTAGTATACCACTATTACAGGGTGGGGGGTCCTCCTAAAGGATGAGGATTGAGGGTTAAGGGTAGGAGCCTAAGTGGCTTAGGGCTTTAGGCCTTAGAATTAAGTAGCTTAAGTTTAGTGTAAGAAGCTTCTGGGTTGCTGTCCGAACTGGCTAAGGGGTTTTAGCGTTTGGGGTGTAGGTTGGACCTAAGTGGATTGTGGTTTAGGGTTTTAGAGTTTAGGGTTCAGGAGCTTAAGTTTAGCTACCCCAATGTGAGTTTATCGAGTAAATAGCTTACGGTTCATGTTTTGGGTTTCAAGTAGCGTATCCAGATGGAAAATGCGAACTGGAACAGAAACAAGGGTTAGATAGAGAGTTGAGGAACTGAATTTAAGTTACGATAGCATGGATACAACTGTAAACAATAAAAGTATCATGAAAACTTGATCTACCTTACTTATCAGACTTATCAGCAACCCAGGCTTTTCCTGACGGTCGTCCAGGACGCAGTTTTGTCCAAGATTTCCGCGAGCCAGCTGTTGGCCTTGCACCAGCGATTGCGGCATGCTGTGCTTGGAGGGTCAGGGGGACTTAGTAAGTAGGTTAATAACCCCCATACCCCATATAATGACCCTAGTTATCCCCAATATTAACACACTTCCTAAGTCCCCCTGACCCTCCAAGTACCTGTGTGGGTTACCTTGAGCCGGTTTAGCTTGTCTTGAAAACTTCAAGTTCCGAACAGGTCTGGGGGACATGATTGCTTGCGTACATTATAGTATTATATATAGTAGATTTTTAGTGTAACATAGTCTACTATAGTATAATATTGTAGATACTGGCACCTGAGAATCTTAGATTCTACAGCACTCCTACTCCTTGTTCTTGAATGCTTCGCACTGTCAGGCAATTAATTGTAAGGGCTCCAAAATGGACCCTCAAGTTTGACAAAACCCTAAACCCTAAACCCCTGTGCGGGCCACAGGATCGACAGGTTCAGCGCCTCATGGATGACTTAGATCTACCACCAGATCGTGCAAATCTTTTTGAAGCACTGGACGCTGATGCTTGCTCACGTTTAGGTTGAGGGTATAGGTTCCAGGGTTTTAGGATTTAGGCTCTTGGGTTTTAGGATTTGGGCTCCAGGGTTTTAGGATTTAGGCTCCAGGGTTTTAGGATTTAGAGTGTAGGGGTTTAGGATTTAAACCCTTCTGGTCCAACTTGAGCAGAGCTAGGTGAGGCCATCCAGGCTTGAGACACAAGCCTGCTGCAAAAGGTTTAAACCGGCTGGGGGCACTGGACGCAAATGCCGCTTCATGCTACTCTGGGAATGGGGGATGTAACCCCTAAAGCTCCAAAACCCTTAACATACTTTACCACAAAGCTACCAGTTTCCGGTTCAGTCTCCGGCTGCTCTTCAATTTGCTTTGTCCATTCCGAAACCCACCTAGAACCAAGTCCCCCAGTCCCTTGAACACTAAGCTAGACATCGCACAGAAAGCCTGACAACCCCAAACCCTAACCCCCTTTCCCACTGAAGCAAGAGTAAGGATGGCAGCGGCACACTGCACGTGGCAGAGCTCGTGCAGGGCCTCCTCAAAGTGCGTGGCCAGCTGCTGGTTGGTTCTACGGATGCAGGAAAGCTTGCACCAACCTTAATAGATTATAATCCCCCTTAGGTAGATAGAATATGGCTTTGGGTATACTATAATAAGATTCCCATAAACCCCA